ATATTACTTTTATTATTAATATTAGTATATATTATAATACACCTATATTACAAAATTATGTCATATAATTACAATTATATGTTATAATGCAAATTTTAAACTCGTAAAAAATATAAAAATTATCATAACTACGAATTAATTAAATTATTAATTGTAGTTGTAAACTTACTGTAAAATAAAAACCATAAAATATTTATAAGAAATTTTGTACTACGTGAAAGTTTCACCGAAGATCACCACTCCGTTTATTTGGTCCCAAATATTCTTTCATATTTGCAGTGCTCTTGTAAACAGCAGAAACACATAAACAGCCTCGCCTATATACTCCGTATACGTTTCAATGTTTCACGTATGTATTCAAATTTCATAAATGCAGCAGCACGTGCTGGAACAATTCAATCTCGATGAAATGGCTAAATTTCAATAATTTCATTCACCATCGCGCACTATTTATAATCTTTCTCAAATATCGTGCACGTACATGAACACTCGCATTGCGCTTCAACATAAACAATTTTATATTTTAGTTTCTATTCAAGAATTCCTTCCTTGAGAATTCCTTTGAAATTAATTACTTTTCATTATATCTTTTGGCTTCTTATTAAACAATAACATATAACAGTTCTTCTAAATAATCAATCCGAGCAACACTTCGATACGTCAATCTTCGAAATTAATTTTCTATTAATTCATCTTGAATATTGTTACTAATATTGATTATTGCACATCGAGATTGTTTGCTGTTTATTAATGTTCATGATCGTAATATATGATTGACTGATTATCAGGTTAATTGTAACCGACTGATCGAAGACTGCGGCCTTGACTCACTGGATGCTGAATTAATTGAAGGTTACAATAAAACTATATTATTTCCTGGCTCTCGTTAGTCGACTCTTCTCTACCTTAAATGAACGTTACATTGAGATTGTCTGACTGAAAGCTCAACCAAAACTGAGCTGACTGCAATAAGTCTGTACTATTTCCTGGGCCTCGTTAGTCGACTCTCCTCCAGTGCACCCTAAATGACGAAGAATGAGGGGGATGACGAGGTCGCGTAAGAGCAAACGATTGAAGTTTATTGGAATGCTTGCTGTACCATTAACACTTGAATGTTAATTATTTCAATGCAAGAAAGATGTCCTCTTTACAGTAATAATTACGGCGCATTTTTTTTACAGTACAGTACTCTTTACAGTATACTAATAATTGTAAAATTTAATTAAAAAGAAAAAAAACATATATATATATATATGTGTGTGTGTGTGTGTTTTTTTTAAATAGAATTTTTTGACAAGACGAAGAATGTTTTGAAATCTGAAGAGACGAGTAAGTATAACACACATGTTACTTTCATCGTCGATGCATGAACGAACTCATTGCACAGTCTATTGTAACATTTAGGGGATGATATTTGAAAAATGCGTTAGCATGATGCTGGAAATTCGAACACTCACCCAGAGAAGTGTCGTAGGCGCAAATGTAGTCGCTGGTGGTGAACTGAACCGTGAGGGCGGTTTTCCCAACCCCGGACGCGCCCAGCATGCCGACTTTGTAAGTGGCCACTCGTTCGTTGCTCGTGTCCTCTTCAGCCTCCATTCCCGATAGCTGTGACGCCGAGCTGAAACACGCGAGCAGAAAGAGCGTGGTGGGTTGAAACACGCGGCCAACTCTCTGACATGAGACACTCGGTATCGATCGACCGACCGACGGCAAGAACAAGAGAGAAACAGAGAGTTCCAGAGGAACTCTCGTTTCACTTTTTGTTCGCCGTTTTCGTTCTTCGATACCAGTCGCGTCGTTTCTTCCCCAGTGGAATGAAAATGCACGCATCTACCATCAGATTTAGTTTCCCAGATAGCAGATCTCGTTCGTTTCGTTCATTCGAGATTTTACGATTTCGCGCGCTGTAGATTTTTGGTGGTGAAAGAAACGAGAAGCTGTGGTGCGTTGTTCAATGGTCTCATCGGCGAGTGATTGGTTTCAGCATACTGGGTGTTCAGGTTCAAATCTCGTGTTTTGCGAGTGAAAATTAGAATAAAAATACAATAAACGTAAAATTGTAGGTAATGGTGATGATTATTATACATACATACGTATATATTATTTAAATATTACAACAATAATTTAATGTAATGATAAATAAATATATGCGTTTTATAAATACAAACAATGAAAAATTAATACAGTGCAATTTAATTTACGCGATATATAATTTACACATGATACATACGAATATACGGAATGTACTAAAATATAAGAAATACGAAAAGAAAGCAGGGGAAATGTTCGTTTTTTTAAACGTTTAGAAAAAATGCAGAAAGAAATTGAAAAAGAAAAAAAAAAAAATAAAAAGAAACGCTCGTTCCTTAAACGAATTTAGAATTCGACGAACGTGCGTGGACTCTAGGAATGCGTCTCATGTCTCTCTTCCCTCTTCATCGCTAAATACACCATACGAAATTGCGGAGTTTTCTTCCTTTCTTCTTCTCTTTTTTTTTTTTTCGTTTTTCGCAACAGTCGGCGAGAGATAATTTTCCGGCTTTTGCGTGAGAACGCATTGCGACGCGACAGGAAGTCCGCGTGGCGCGGCAAAGAGGGGAGAAGCCATCCTCCCTATCTCTGACAAATACGGCTTCGCCAGACTGCATAATTTCCCGCGTGTCTTCCTTCGATTTTCTGCCATCTTTTTCACCCTTATTTCCCGCCCATTTCTTGTCTCCCTTCCTCGAAACTAATACCCATCGCAATTACCGTCGCCGCGTGTTTCCTTGATTCGCTGTGAGAGCAGTTTACTCGCGTCGTGAATGTAAGTCGAAACCGGTTGATTCATTTTTTTTTCGATGCTGATGACGATTATCTGTTAAATATAATTCTTCTGTATAACTGGATTGATTGAATTGCGTGTAATTAGTTGAATATGTAGTTGTGTTGGTAATATCGTTGATATTGAATCAAACTTGTAAAAATATAACTATTTTGCTATTATATATATTACACTGTTATTATTAGTAACATTTTCAGAATTTAATTTATAGCTTAATAGAATTCTTTAATTTAATACAGTTCAATTTAATTTTAGTATCAATCTAATAACATTAAATTTCGCATTATTGCACCTCATTTTAGTAAATACTTCTAGCAATATTATATAGTAAATTCTTCATAGTCAAATTTGAGGATCCTCGATTCTTTTTCATTATGATCTTCGATTACGATAATTCCTCTTTTCTCTTCACTTATCACTAAACTGCAATTTTCACGAACCTAGTTTTCATAGGACGTCATTAATTTACGAGAGTAATTTTTTTTATAAACATAATCGAAGAAATGGTATCTAAATTGACAGTCCTATAATAATGTCATTTAATGAGAATTTAGATATTTGATAAATATTACAATAAATGCATTACTTTAAATGTGTCCCATATTTGTGCACAATAATATTTTTCGTACATTTATAATAAACACAATGAGTTAAACACACGAGCATGTATTGTCAGAATTATTCTTAAAAAATAATTTCAACTTAGATTGAACTCATCGCGACATTAATCCACAGTATTTATATTTCGCGTATTAATTCAACTTGTAATGCAATTTATATTACATTATAATTCATTGCCAGTGACAACGTTCAACTTATAATTACAATTTAAAGAAGCAGCCGGGTCTTGACAATTATGGAACAGCCTGTGGCACAGTTTCGCGAATTTAATAACAAGAGATTCCTTTAGTTCCCTAAGTAATATCATCTGTTACGAACAATCGTTCGTCTTAAGAGGATACTCGATAAGATTGCATTTTCTTGGCCTTGTTCTTTCGCAATTTCCCATTTCATCTTTCCCCATGCAGCTTAATTGACCTCTCAGAAATTAAACGAAGTGTTTCGAAAGTGGAATGGATCAAGCAAGGGCAAGTTCAGCCTGATAGAACTTATCTGATATATATATATAT